TAGGTAGGTAGGTAGGTAGGTAGGTAGGTAGGTAGGTAGGTAGGTAGGTAGGTAGGTAGGTACTGCATGAGGTGGCAGTACACTGCTCACTGCTCACCACCCACCGCACACCGCCCACATCTCATCAGACACTGATCACCACCCACCACCCACCACCCACCACCCACCACCCACCACCCACCACCCACCGCCCACCGCTCACCCTCGTCGGACACCGCTCACCGCTCATCAGACACCTCTCCCCACCCACCAACCACCTCTCCCCACCCACCACCCACCTCTCCCCACCCACCACCCACCTCTCCCCACCCACCACCCACCTCTCCCCACCCACCACCCACCTCTCCCCACCCACCACCCACCTCTCCCCACCCACCACCCACCTCTCCCCACCCACCACCCACCTCTCCCCACCCACCACCCACCTCTCCCCACCCACCACCCACCTCTCCCCACCCACCACCCACCTCTCCCCACCCACCACCCACCTCTCCCCACCCACCACCCACCTCTCCCCACCCACCACCCACCTCTCCCCACCCACCACCCACCTCTCCCCACCCACCACCCACCTCTCTCCACCCACCGCACACCGCTCACCACTCAGTGCTCACCTGCGCTTTCTTTGATAGCCACCACCGACCCGCCCGCACACGCCATGGGCCGCACGGGCTGCGTCGGCGAGTTCACAGTGCCGGCAGCGATGGGTGCAGCCGCGTCCACCGCGCACACTCCCCCTGCCCCCGCCCAGCAGAACGGGCCCACGGCGTTGGCGGTGCCGCAGATGGCACAGTCCGCCGCAGGCCTCTGGGCGGAGCCTCCACTGGTGCACTTGGAGGGCGTCAGCAGGCAGTTGCCCGCGCCCCCGCACCACGTGTACTTGTTTGCTGTGGGCACGTCTGTGAGGAAGTTTCCTCGCAGGTCCAGAGAGAGCAGCCCAGTGGCGAGCGCGGGGACGGTACCGGTGAAGTAGTTGTAGACAGCACCGCTGGCGAGGAGGGAGGACAGGGAGAGGGCAGATGCAAGGAGAACCTTCATAAGGAGTGGGCAGACATGACCGTTACTCATAGCAGAAGAGCTGGCAGTAGGACGTTTTGGAAATGCTTCAAGCAAAAAAAAAACAAACAAACAAACAAACAAACAAACAAACAAACAAAAACATCCAGTATGTGCGCCTCTCTCGGACTTACAGTTGCGTGAGTTTTGGGAGGCCCACGAGAAACGAGGGGATTTCTCCGAATAAGTAGTTGTAGTGCAGGCGGCTGCAAGAGGAGCAGTAGCAGAGACGATGAGAAGCGGGTGGAACGGAGTTTGAAGATTGCTAGAGAAACGTGTTTTGAGTCGACTTAAAGCATGTGGAACCGCGCGTGCAGATCGCAAGAGAAATCAATGTGGGTGAAATTTACAGGCGAGACACTACAGCACCAGCATTTGCCTGCTCTCACACCTCTTCGCTTGCTGGTCACACACTGACACTCCCATGTCGGCCACATTCTGCCACTCACATGTCGGCCAGCACTCACATGTCGGCCAGCAGCACTCACATGTCGGCCAGCAGCACTCACATGTCGGCCAATGGCAAGGCTCGGAGGTTGGTGGTGAAGGAGTCGATGCGGTAGCTGAGGAGATTGCCCTGCAGGTTGCTGTGGGGGGGGGGGGCGAGCAGAGGGTGGAGGAGGCATGGTTGAGATCAGCCAATGTGGGGCACGGGCTTTAAGATTTGGCCGAGACAGCAGATATGAGAGCATATTTTTTTCCCATAGCAAAGAGGATCAAAACAGCCAGAGCATTGCAGGCGCAACTCACAGGTAGGTGAGGGCTGTGAGCGTGGAGATTTCAGAAGCAAGTGAGCCCTTGAGCTTTTGGTTATCCGCAGCTCTGATGGGCACAGGAGTTAGGTGGCACAGGAGTTATATGCACAGGAGTTGAGTGGCACGGCATAGGGGGTCACAGGGGGGTAGGCAGATAATACGGTATGCTAAACCCTAAACCCTGGCAGGCAAAACCTGGAGGTGGTGTTACAGCAGTCAAAGAAGAACCCAACGGACAAGCTGTCTCACATGCCCTTGCTCACGATCCTTCTGAAAAACTATACTTCTCCTTGTATCCTACATCTATCCTATAAACATGGGTAGAGATAAGTACCAAAACTTAGTTTGGGTGCACAACTAGGAATTTCTCCTCTTCCCATGCTCTCACACATCTATCCCATGCTCTCAACACCTATGTATACCCTCGTTTATTCCAACAAAACCATCGGTTCTCTTTGCGCCTTCCGGTTTCTCACACATCCTTTTCGCATTCACATGCCACAAGGACACGTTTGAACTATCGACAACGTGTAATTATTCCTAACAAGCTGACGTCGACTTACGTGGCCAGTATACTCGCTTACTCACATGCATGCCATGTCCCCAGACCAGATTGCTGACTCACATGTAGACGACACTCCCAGTGCTGTCACAGAGCACGCCGCTCCACACTGTCGCCGTGGTGGTCTGCCCCGCGATCTTGCACGGCACAGTGGCCGCCCACGTGGTGAGAGTGACACCCAGCGAGGCCTTGAGGGCCAGCATGGCTGGTGAGGGGCGGCGGGGAGAGGGGCAATGAGGCAAGCGGCGGGAGGCGGGGGGGCGCAAGCAGCACGTGAGGAATTGGAGGGGTTGCGCTGCACGGGCCGTGTGGACGCACGCTGCCCCAGGCGGCACGATCCCACGCTGCCCCCCTGCCTACCTGCCCCCTGCCCGCTGCCCCCAGCCTACCTGCGCTTTCTTTGACGGGCGCAACCGGGCTACCCACGCATGACATGGGGAGCGCGGGCTGCGAATTCAGGTTCCCAGTGCCGGCAGCCACAGCTGCAGCCGCGTCCGGCATGCACACTCCTTCCGCACCCCAGCAGATTCCGATGCCGTTGGTGGTGCCGCAGATGGCACAATCCGCCGCAGCCCGCTGAGTCGTGCCCGAGGTGGTGCACTTGGAGGGCGTGACGAGGCAGTTCAGGTTGCCGCCGCACCATGTGTAGGCCGCCGCTGGCAGGTCCGTGATGAAGTTGTAATTCACATCTATTCTGAGCAGCAGCGGGCCCAGCGGCGGCACGGTCCCCGTGAGGTAGTTTCCGGGCGCGCCGCTGGTGAGGGGAGAGAGCAGCGAGGGGGGAAACAGAGGGGGAAATGGAGGGAGAAACGGAGGGGGGAAACGGAGGGGGGAAACGGAGGGGGGGAAACGGAGGGGAAACACGGAGGGGGGGAAACGGAGGGGGAACACGGAGGGGGGGAAACGTACAAGGAGTGAGTAGACAGACAAGAGGGCGAGGCAGGAGTGAGAGTGTATCAACGCAACATGGAACAACATGGTGCAACACGAGGCAACATGGTGCATGATATCCCCACCAGGCTAACAGGTGACCTACCATCCCAGCAGCACACTGCATATGGCTCCCCGACAGGCCTACAGCTGACTTTCACGCATCCCAGCAGACTTACAACTCAGTGAGTTTTGGGAGGCCCAGGAGATACGCGGGGATTTGACCGTAAAGGTAGTTGGCGTGCACGCGGCTGCGAGAGGAGTAGAAACGATGAGATGAGTGGTGGCACGTGGAAAGCATAAGACTCGTGCATGCACACATGGCGATTGAGGCGACTCGAAAAAGGAAACAGAAATAAAACAGAATCAGAGAAGAGAGAGGTCGGAAGGTGGGGAGAAGAGAGAGGTCGGAAGGTGGGGAGAAGAGAGAGGTCGGAAGGTGGGGAGAAAACAGTTATGGCAGCAAAGCTGAGGAGGCAAGTCAAGTCAGTAACATAAGTGTCCTGCTCTCACCCCTCCCCTCTCGGACCAACTTCACTCTGGCACTCACAAGTCAGCCAGAAGTGGCAAGGCTCGAAGGTGAGTGGCGAAGGAATCGAGGCGGTAGAAGTGGAGGTTTTGCACGAGGTAGCTGTGCGGCGGGAGAACAGGGTGGGAAGGACACGAGGTCATCGGTAGAGTGCGAACTGCACGCATCATGGTTCGCCATGGGCACATGATGTATGGATCATCATGCGCATCAATGTATGCAGCCGCAATAAGAAAGATGCAGGAGCAGCAGCCAGTACAGTACTACCACCAAAAAGGGAAGAGATTGACCCAGTATAGCAAGTGCCACTCAAATGCGGGTGTCTTTTGAGGCGCCTCAACAGGAGCAGCAGCCACATGCGGCTGTCAAATGCAACTCACATGCACGTGAGAGCTGTGAGCGTGGAGATGTCCGAAGGAAGCGAGCCCTTGAGGTTTGCGTTATTCACAACGCTGATGCACGACAGTTTGTGACAACGCATTGGGGTTTTGGGGGACACAACACACGCAATGGCCGATGGGCAGATGAGCGTGGTGTGCATGTGGCAAGGTGCAAAGAAAGCATTGCTATGCTGTATTGTGCAGTAAAATCAGAGCAACTGCAAAAAGCAACTGCAACAGAATATACGTATGCAAGCAGTTGCCTGCTCTACAGATGCCCCACATGCCTTGCCGTTCTCCCACACCAACTCACATGCGGTGGGCACATTCACTGGCGGGCACATTCACTGGCGGGCCATGCTGATGATTCGTTAACCATTGGTGAGGAGGTCATTCATTCCCATGCAGACGAAACCCAAGGACCAAACATGATTATTCATATGCTCACAGCACTGCCAGTGCTGTCACAGAGCCACGCCAGCTTAGGTTGTGGCCGTGGTACTACTCACATGTCGGAGACTTTGCCGTTTGCCGTGCAACGGACGCCAGTCCATTCGTAGCCGTTCGCAAGGGCCACACTGGATTGGTCAGAGCGGCATGGAGTGGCGGCGGACCAAGTGGTGAAGGTCACACCCAGCGCGGACTTGACGTTAAGCATGGCGGCAGCTGCAGGGGGTGGCAGGCGGGGGTGCATGGGAGTGTGTTCACAGGGAAGTGAATATGTGTGCAAAGGGAAGTGAATATGTGTGCGGAGGACAGAGGAGGGGCAGAAAGCGAGCGTGTTCATGTCAGGCGCGTGCGATTGGGAACGAGAAGGAAGGGAGGTGACACTGACCGTCAGCAGAGTTCATGGTGATGGGCTGGTAAACACACGAAAGGGCCACTTCGCCTCCATAGTTGTTCTGACCCGCTGCAATCTTCGCGTCTGCGCCCGGCACGCACGCTTGCCCCGCTGTGCACAGAGTGCCGGTGCCGTCAGTGCTGCCGCAAATAGCACACGAGGACCTTTGGAAGGCGCTCTGGCAGTTGCCCACGCTGGCAAGGCAGTTATTTGCGGCGTTGCAGTACGACCAGGTGCCGGAGGGAATAGAGCCGACAAAGTAGTTCTGGTAGAGGTCCAGCGACTTGATCTTTGTGATGGTCGATGGCAGCGAGCCTGTCAGGTAGTTGAAGCGGACAGACCTGTGAGGTGGGGTGGTAGGGAAGTATGCGTTGTTGGAGAGATTTTTTTGGAGTGTGGATGGATGGATGGATTGCTTGGTGTATGCCGACAGCAAATGCAAACAGCTGCGCGGCTTCAACATAACACAGCGCTGCTCTCGTGCCCGAAATCATTACAGACAGAAGACGCGCCTTCTTTCTGTACTCACAGACTGGTGAGGCTGGGCAGAGTGGTGAGCACGCTGGGGAATGACCCCGAGAAGAACATGTACTGCATGGCCCTGGTGGACGAGATGAGGGGCACGGACACACGCACACACGCACACACGCACACGCGAGCACGCACACACGCACGCACGAACGCACACACACACACACGCACGCACGCGCGCACGCACACACGCATGCACGCACACACGGATATCAGAAAGAGTAAAAGGCTTCAGTGATGCAACAGTTATGTAATACCGAATGTGTCTTCGAGCTGGCAATATGCATGGGACATCTGTGGGACGACATCCATGGGGCAGACATGCATGAGACGACATGCATAGGAAGACATGCAGGGGACTACATGCAGGGGACTACATGCAGGGGACGACATGCAGGGGACTACATGCAGGGGACGACATGCAGGGGACGACATGCAGGGGACTACATGCAGGGGACTACATGCAGGGGACTACATGCAGGGGACGACATGCAGGGGACTACATGCAGGGGACTACATGCAGGGGACTACATGCAGGGGACTACATGCAGGGGACTACATGCAGGGGACGACATGCAGGGGACGACATGCAGGGGACTACATGCAGGGGACTACATGCAGGGGACTACATGCAGGGGACTACATGCAGGGGACGACATGCAGGGGACGACATGCAGGGGATTACATGCAGGGGACTACATGCAGGGGACGACATGCAGGGGACTACATGCAGGGGACGACATGCAGGGGACGACATGCAGGGGACTACATGCAGGGGACGACATGCAGGGGACTACATGCAGGGGACGACATGCAGGGGACGACATGCAGGGGACTACATGCAGGGGACTACATGCAGGGGACTACATGCAGGGGACTACATGCAGGGGACGACATGCAGGGGACGACATGCAGGGGACGACATGCAGGGGACGACATGCAGGGGACTACATGCAGGGGACGACATGCAGGGGACGACATGCAGGGGACTACATGCAGGGGACTACATGCAGGGGACTACATGCAGGGGACGACATGCAGGGGACGACATGCAGGGGACGACATGCAGGGGACGACATGCAGGGGACGACATGCAGGGGACGACATGCAGGGGACGACATGCAAGGGACGACATGCAGGGGACGACATGCAGGGGACGACATGCAGGGGACGACATGCAGGGGACGACATGCAGGGGACGACATGCAGGGGACGACATGCAGGGGACGACATGCAGGGGACGACATGCAGGGGACGACATGCAGGGGACGACATGCAGGGGACGACATGCAGGGGACGACATGCAGGGGACGACATGCAGGGGACGACATGCAGGGGACGACATGCAGGGGACTACATGCAGGGGACGACATGCAGGGGACGACATGCAGGGGACGACATGCAGGGGACGACATGCAGGGGACGACATGCAGGGGACGACATGCAGGGGACGACATGCAGGGGACGACATGCAGGGGACGACATGCAGGGGACGACATGCACAAGAAGACCCACACAAACCCGGCGACACTCACAGTTGATTCAAGTTGGTGAGCGTGGAGAAGAACTTGAGATAGTCTGAGAGGCTGCCATCCAGGAAGTTCCATGGCATCCACCTGCACACATGACGCCACGCAGCAACGCAGCAAGGAAACATATGAGGCGTCTCAAAAGAACACAACAAGTAAACAGTTGAGGCGTCTTAAAAGCATGCAGCAAGGGCCGCATTATCCGCATAGCATTGCGGATGGGGTCAGCATGCATGCAGGGCATGCAGCGTTGCGAGCCACATGCACTGTTGCAAGCTGCAGGCCATGACACAGAAGAGGCACGCGCAGAGAGCACTCACACTACGCCAAGGCCCGTGAGCTTGGAGATGTCTGAAGGGAAGCTCTTGCGCACGAGTTTCGCTGAGTCCAGGTTTCTGCACGCATGCACACACCCGCATGCAGCGACGCAAGCGAACAGTGCGGCAGCGCATGAATGCACGGCTTGGATGGACTGTGTTGAAACGTTCCAGCCAATATTGCAGGGCTTTTTCGAGAAATAAAGAAAGGAAAAAAACAAACAAACAAACAAACAAACAAACCTGCAACTTTCCTGCCAAAATTGCTGCCAATAATAATACACTGTGCTCTGGGCTGCTGGGTGAATACCATGGCTTGCGCCTGCACATGCACCCTCCCTTGCCGCATCCACTCACACCCTCTCTAGCTGCCTGCACTCACATCACGTAAGCGCGGCCAAAAGGGGTGCAGGCCACGCGCTCCCACTCGCCCGCTTTGGCTGTGGCGCCGTCAAGAGTGCACGGGTTGGTGGCGGCCCACGAGGTGTAGGTGAGGCCCATGGCCGACTTGATGTTCAGCAGGGCCGCCGCTGAGAGCGGGGAATGAGGAACAGGAACGGGAGGGAGATATGAGAGAGAATGAGCTTTCCCTTGGCGCCACTGTTTGAAAAAACGCCGTCAACACGGCAGGGATTGGTAGTGGCCCACGTGGTGTTGGTGAGCCCACGTGGCGTTGGTAAGCCCACATGGCTGACTTGATGTTCAGGAGGGCTGCCACTGGTGGCGGTGGAGAATGGGGAAGGGCAAGGGGAGGGCAGTGGAGGAGAGAAGTAGAACCACCAAGAACAGCGGTGGGGCTCCATGTCGTGAACCAATGAGAACAGCGGTGGGGCTCCATGTCGTGAACCAATGAGAACAGCGGTGGGGCTCCATGTCGTGAACCAATGAGAACAGCGGTGGGGCTCCATGTCGTGAACCAATGAGAACAGCGGTGGGGCTCCATGTCGTGAACCAATGAGAACAGCGGTGGGGCTCCATGTCGTGAACCAATGAGAACAGCGGTGGGGCTCCATGTCGTGAACCAATGAGAACAGCGGTGGGGCTCCATGTCGTGAACCAATGAGAACAGTGGTGGGGCTCCATGCCGTGAACCAATGAGAACAGCGGTGGGGCTCCATGTCGTGAACCAATGAGAACAGCGGTGGGGCTCCATGTCGTGACGTGAACCAATGAGAACTTGAGCGTGAGAACTCACCATGGGAACTTAACCAAGTGCGAGCACTCACCAATGGGAACTTAACCAAGTGCGAGCACTCACCAATGGGAACTTAACCAAGTGCGAGCACTCACCAATGGGAACTTAACCAAGTGCGAGCACTCACCAATGGGAACTTAACCAAGTGCGAGCACTCACCAATGGGAACTTAACCAAGTGCGAGCACTCACCAATGGGAACTTAACCAAGTGCGAGCATTCACCAATGGGAACTTAACCAAGTGCGAGCACTCACCAATGGGAACTTAACCAAGTGCGAGCACTCACCAATGGGAACTTAACCAAGTGCGAGCACTCACCAATGGGAACTTAACCAAGTGCGAGCACTCACCAATGGGAACTTAACCAAGTGCGAGCACTCACCAATGGGAACTTAACCAAGTGCGAGCACTCACCAATGGGAACTTAACCAAGTGCGAGCACTCACCAATGGGAACTTAACCAAGTGCGAGCACTCCAAAGGGACCTCTCAAACAGTACCCACCATCCCCCGCATTCATGTAGAGAGTGCCGCCCACACACGTCACGGGCAGCACGGGCTGCGTTGGCGAGTTCACAGTGCCTGTATTGACAGCTGAACCCGAGTCCACTGTGCACACCCCCCCCGCCGCCACACAGAAGGGGCCCACGGCGTTGGTGGTGCCGCAGAAGGCACAATCCGCTGCTGGCCTCTGGGCGGAGCCTCCACTGGTGCACTTGGAGGGCGTCAGCAGGCAGTTGCCCGCGCCCCCGCACCAGGAGTAGCTTGCTGTGGGCACGTCTGTGAGGAAGTTTCCTCGCACGTCCAGACTGAGCAGCCCAGAGGCGAGTGCGGGCACAGTGCCAATGAAGTAGTTGTAGACCGCACCGCTGGGGAGAGGGAAGGGCATTGGAGGGGCAGATTCATAACGGGAATTCATAAGGAATGGGCAGATGCATAACGGGAATTTATCAGGAATGGGCAGACTGGACTGCACCTTCACCCATAGTGGAACAGCTGCAAATAATGAGATTCGGAAACAATTAAAGCTATTAAAACATAAAATTAAAATATAAACTCCTCAAAAGCGCTCCAATATCTATCTCCCTATCAGACTTACAACTGAGTGAGTTTCGGGAGGCCGACAAGGAAGGAGGGGATTTCTCCGTACAAGTAGTTGTAGTGCAAGCGGCTGCAATAGGGGCAGAAGGGAACCGATGAGGGCCCAACGGGATGGCAGCATGTGGAAAAAAGGTTCCATGATTGATCCAGAAAAGTGAGTGCGTGAAAATATGTCGGCCAGCATCACTCACATGTCGGCCAGCAGCACTCACATGTCGGCCAGCAGCACTCACATGTCGGCCAGCACTCACATGTCGGCCAGCAGCACTCACATGTCGGCCAACACTGGCAAGGCTCGGAGGTTGGTGGTGAAGGAGTCGATGCGGTAGCTGAGGAGATTGCCCTGCAGGTTGCTGTGGGGGAGAGGGGCGAGCAGGGGGTGCAATGTCGTGGAGAATTTGGAACGTGGCTGAGAGAGGATAGATGAAGCAGTGGATACGACAGCAGAAAACAAAGAGGATCAAAACAGCCAGAGGGCAGAGCAGGTAAGACACAAAAGACACAACTCACACGTAAGTGAGTGCTGTGTTTTGAGTCGACTCAAAAGACACAACTCACAGGTAAGTGAGGGCTGTGTTTTGAGCCGACTCAAAAGACACAACTCACAGGTAAGTGAGTGCTGTGAGCGTGGAGATGTCCGAAGCAAGTGATCCCTTGAGCTTTGAGTTATCCACAGCCCTGAGGTGCACAACGGTTGGTGGCAGGACAGAGCGGAGGAGGATACGTGCAAGGGCGGGTGAGCAGATGAATATGGTATGCAGGTACGGCAGGCAACGCCTGGAAGCAGCATCACAGCGGTCAAAGAAAGCACCCAGTCATTGGGCACGCTGCCTATTGTATAGGCGCCTCAAAAAAGGAAGCACACACTCACCAGGCACGCTGTCTCACATGCCCTCACAGCATCGCTCATGCACCGGCTCTCCTCATTCACATGCCACAAGGACATGCATGAACCACTGGCATTGTTTGATAAATTGATTATCAACGAAGTCCCGATGGTGATTTACATGCCCAATATGCCGACTCACATGCTCACGACCCTCCCAGTGCTGTCACAGAGCACGCCACTCCACACTGTCACCGTGGTGGTCTGCCCCGCGACCTTGCACGGCACAGTGGCCGCCCACGTGGTGAGAGTGACACCCAGCGACGCCTTGAGGGCCAGCATGGCTGATAAGGGGCACGCGGGGGACGGGGCAGCAAGGCGGGAAGCAGGAGGTTGGGGGACGCCCCGAAGAGCACGTGAGCAAGTGGACGGGGTTGCATGGGCCCTAAGGTATGGGCACTTTTCCGGGCAGCCCAGGCTCATAGGGCCCGGCACTTTTATGAGGCAAGGCAACGGCACTCGGCCATCGCATCACACATCCCCCCCTATGGCCAGGAGTGCCATATCTGTGCTGTGCTTACGCACACCTGGACCATTGCTCACCTGCCCTCCTCCTAGCAACAAGGCACACCTTACCAAGACAGACAGTCAGACAGACCGACAGGCCGGCATTGCAGATAACACTGCCGCGCCTTGCACACACTGCCCCTGCCCCCTTACTCTGCTGCCCCCTGCCCCCTTCTCCCTGCCCCCTGCCTCCTGCCCCCTGCCCCCTGTCCCCTGGATACGTGTAATCTCCCTAACGCCCAATGCCCATCTGTTCTGCTTTTCAGACATCTGGTGCTGACCTGCCATCCTAGCAACAAAACGTGGCACTCACTGACAGGCATACAATGCGGTCAACAGCCAGCCATGCCCCTGCCACCTGCTACAGTGCACAGCCCCTGCCACGCCACCTCCTCCCTGCCCCCTGCCCCTTGCCCGCTCCCACTGCCCCCTGCCCCCTGCACCCCGCCTCTGACACCTCCCCGCTGCCCACCTGTAGAGTCTTTCAAGGCCGCGACCGGCCCGCCCACGCACGTCCTGGGGAGCGCGGGCTGCGAATTCGGGTTTGCAGTGCCGGCAGCCACGGGTGCAGTCGCGTCCGGCGTGCACACCCCTCCCGCGCCCCAGCAGAAGGGCCCCGCGCCGTTGGGGGTGCCGCAGAAGGCACAGTCTGCCGCAGCCCGCTGGACCGTGCCAGAGGTGGTGCACTTGGAGGGCGTGACGAGGCAGTTGAGGTTGCCGCCGCACCATGTGTAGGCCGCCGTTGGGAGGTCGGTGATGAAGTTGTAATTCACATCTATTCTGAGCAGCAGCGGGCCGAGCGGGGGCACGGTTCCTATGAGGTAGTTGCCGGGAGCGCCGCTGGTGAAGGGAGAGAGCAGAGAGGAGGGAAACAAAGAAGGCAAACGAAGGGTGGTATGGGAAGTGAGTGAAGGGACAAGAGGGCGAGGCAGGAGAGGGAACGAATCAATGGAACATGAAGCACCATGGCGCTAGGCATCCCAACAAGCTAACAGGTAACCTGCCATCCCAGCAGCACACTGCCATCCCAGCAGCACACTGCCATCCCAGCAGCACACTGCCATATGACACATGCATGCACTCCCCAACAGGCTTACACCTGCCTTTAACGCATGACCCAAGTAGACTTACAACTCGGTGAGTTTTGGGAGGCCCACGAGGTACGCGGGGATTTCACCGTAAAGATAGTTGGCATGCACGCGGCTGCGGGAGAAGCAAAGAGACGATGAGATGAGTGGTGTGTCAGGAAAGTTCAAGACGAGTTGAATTTTGAGTCAACTCAAAGGTAGGCCCAGAAGAAACGTGGGAACTTGACTGTAAAGGTAGTTAGCATGCACGTGGCTGCGAGAGAAGCAGAGGTGATGAGTGGTGGCGGCATGAGCAGAAGGAGGGTGGAAGATCCGGAAAGAACAGCTCTAGTTTTGAGGCGCCTCGAAACTAAAGAGGTTGGAAGATTCAGAGAGAACATCTCTGGGAGCAAAGCTGGGGCAAGTCAAATACAGTAAGACCAGTGTCCTGCTCTCACCCCTCCCCTCTCAGGCTCAAAAAACTCTGCCACTCACAAGTCGGCCAGAAGTGTCAAGGATTGAAGGTAAGTGGTGAAGGAATCGAGGCGGTAAAATAGCAAATTGCCCAGAAGGTAGCTGTGAGGCAAGAGAACAGGGTAGGAAGGACACAAAGGTATGGATCATGCGCACGCGGCCGCAACAGGAAAGTCGCAGGAGCAGCCAGTTCTAGACATTGAAGCAGTCGCAGCAGGGAAAGATGCAGGAGCAGCCAATCCTGCCGATGAAAGCAGAAGCAGGTCTACTGAAACGGATAGAGATTGGTGCAGCATGGCAAAGGCAACTCACATGCGGGTGAGAGATGTGAGCGTGGAGATGTCCGAAGGAAGAGAGCCCTTGAGGTTAGCGTAATTCACAACGCTGATGCACAACAGTTTGTGGCAAAGCGTTGGGGGGGGCACATGCAATGGCAGATGGGCAGATGGAGGATGGTGTGTGTGCGGCGAGGTGCAACAAAGTTGTTCTACACTGTAATGTGCAGTACCATCAAAACAACTGCGGAGAAAAAAAAAAAAAAAAAACAGAATATATAGCAAGCAGTGGCACTCACATGTCAGACACCTTGCCGGTGTCGGTGCAACGGACGCCAGTCCACTCGTTCGCAAGGGCCACAGTGGATTGATCAAAGCGGCACGGTGTGGTGGCGGCCCAAGTGGTGTAGGTCACACCCAGCGAGGCCTTGACGTTCAGCATGGCGGCAGCTGCAGGGGGGTGGCAAGGGGGGGTGAACCAGAACGTGGTCAGGCACACAGGGAAGTGATGCGTGCGCAGAGGACAGTGGAGGGCAGAAAGCGAGTGAGCACGATTGCGAACGAATGAGTAGGCAGGGAGGCGGCACTGACCGTCAGCGGGGTTCATGGTGATGGGCGTGTAAACGCATGACAGGGCCACTTCGCCTCCATAGTTGTTCTGGCCGGCTGCTATCTTGGCGTCAGCGCTCGGCATACAAGATTGCCCCGCTGCGCACAACGTGCCGGTCCCGGCAGTGCTGCCGCAAATAGCACACGAGGACCTCTGGTAGTAATTCTGGCAGTTTCCAGCACCGGTGAGGCAGTTATTGGTGGCATCGCAGTAGGACCAGGTGCCTGAGGGAATAGAGCCAACAAAGTAGTTCTGATTGATGTCCAGCGACTTGATCTTTGTGATGGTTGATGGGAGCGAGCCCGTGAGGTAGTTGAAGCGCAGCGACCTGTGGGGAGGGGTGGAGTAGCATGCGTTGTTACAGCGAGTTGATTGGAGTGTGGATGGATGGATGGATTGCTTGATGGATGGATGGATTGCTTGGTGTATGCCGACAGCAAATGCAAACAGCTGCGCGGCTTCAACATAACACAGCGCTGCTCTCGTGCCCGAAATCATTACAGACAGAAGACGCGCCTTCTTTCTGTACTCACAGACTGGTGAGGCTGGGCAGAGTGGTGAGCACGCTGGGGAATGACCCCGAGAAGAACATGTACTGCATGGCCCTGGTGGACGAGATGAGGGGCACGCACACACTCACGCACGCACACACACACACACACGCGAGCACGCACACACGCACGCACGCACGCACACATGCACGCATGCGCGCGCACACATGCATGCACACATGCACTCACACACGCACGCATGCACGCATGCACGCACACACACACACACACACACACACACACACACACACACACACGCACACATACACACACACGCACGCACGCACGCACACACGCACGCACACACACACGCACGCACGCACGCACGCACGCACGCACGCACGCACGCACACACGCACGCATGCGCGCGCACACATGCACGCACACACGCACACATGCACTCACGCACGCACACGCACGCACGCATGCACGCACGCATGCGCACACACGCACGCACGCACACACGCCGCACACACGCACGCACGCACGCACACACGCAAGCACGCACGCACGCACACACGCACGCACAAACGCAAGCACGCACACACGCACGCACGCACACACGCACGCACGCACACACACACGCACGCACGCACGCACGCACGCACGCATGCACGCACACACGCACACATGCACGCACACATGAACACGCACACATGCACGCACACACGCACACGCACACACACACACACACGCGGGCGCACATGAACGCACACACGCACACGCACGCAGGCACGCACGCATGCACGCACAAACGGATATCAGAAACAGTAAAAGGCTTCAGTGATGCAACAGTTATGTGATACCGTATGTGTTATCGAGCTGGCAATATGCATGGGACATCTGTGGGACATCGTTATTATTGGTTCAGAACCACTGCAACTTGCGCGACGTGCTTGTAACGTGCGTGCAACTGGCTGGGGAAAAAACCTCGGGTGCAAGGTTTCCATCCGGTGAAGGGCAAATTCGCGTGCAGGGGTTGGGCATCATGTGTATCAGAAAGAGTAAAGGCTTCAGTGACGCAACAGTTATGTAATACCGTATGTGTTTTCGAGCTGGCAATATGCATGGGACGACATGCATGGGACGACATGCACAAGAAGACCCACACAAACCCGGCGACACTCACAGTTGATTCAAGTTGGTGAGCGTGGAGAAGAATTTGAGATAGTCTGAGAGGCTGCCATCCAGGAAGTTCCATGGCATCCACCTGCACGCATGACGCAACGCAGCAACGCAGCAAGGAAACATATGAGGCGTCTCAAAAGAACACAACAAGAAAACAGTTGAGGCACATGCACTGTTGCAAGCTGCAGGCCATGACACAGAAGAGGCACGCGCAGAGAGCACTCACACTACGCCAAGGCCCGTGAGCTTGGAGATGTCTGAAGGGAAGCTCTTGCGCACGAGTTTCGCTGAGTCCAGGTTTCTGCGCGCAGCCGCGCCACACACACAAGAGAAACGGTGAGGGGATGCAGTGCAGTGCATGAGAGGCAGCATGCAGCGACACAAGGGAACGGTGAGGCAGAGCATGAGAGGGAGCTTATATGGGCTGCCGCAACACCGCCTTGCTGTCTGCACTCACACTCACACCTGCTATAACGCCCCGCGCCCTGAACCGCCAGTCTAGAACTGGGGTTATTTAGAGGCGGCAGCGCGGATGATATATTTTAACCCAACCCTTCATGTGAGTCCCGCCGGCGTTGCGCCTGCGTTGCTGCCTGCACTCACATGGAGTAGGCGAGGCCGTCAGCGGAGCACGTCACGCGCTCCCACTCGCCGGCGGCTGCAGTGGCGCCATTAAGAGTGCACGGTTTGGTGGCGACCCACGTGGTGTAGGTGAGTCCCATGGCCGCCTTGATGTTCAGCAGGGCCGTCGCTGGTGGGCGGATGGGGAACGGCAGACAAGGGGGAGCGGAGGTGGAAGAGGGGAACAAGGAAGGAAGGACACATTTTGTGGCGGTCCACGTGGTATAGGTGAGTCGCATGGCCGCCTTTATGTTCAGCAGGGCCGCCGCTAAGAGCGGGGAGTGAGGAAAAGGAAGGGGGGGGGATACGCGAAAGAATGAGCTTTTTCTCGGCGCCATCTTTTGAAGAAATGCGTCGGCAGGGATTGGTAGTGGCCAACGTGGCGTTGTTGAGCCCACGTGGTGTTGTTGGCCCCACGTGGTGCTTTTGGGCCCACGTGGTGTTGGTGAGCCCGCATGGCCGACTTGATGTTCAGCAGGGCCGCAGCTGTTGGGCGCAGAGGGGATGATTTGGAGGCGGGAGTGGGGAAAGGGAACAGGAAGGGGCGAGGGGAGCGGGGAGAGGGGAAAGGGTGAGCTTTCCACGCTTGCTTGAAACGGTAAGTTCGCGCGGCGTGCCTTTAACGGCGGCTTGGACAGGGAGAGTACTTCTAATATAGGTGAACGGTGGAGGGAACTTGAGTAGGAAATGCAGCAATTGGCGCCTCTATAAGCACTCGCCAGGGAGGGTCCAGAGCAGTGGAAAAGAGTCTTTTCACCCTCTAAGCAGTGCAGGCTAATTTGCCAAATACTCATACCTTTTGCAAGCGTGTCTTTCAAAGATCGGTGGGAGGTGTGGTGTTGGAAGGACCAGGTCGAAATGTGGACGACATAGGCGAAAAAATTCTGGATAGCTGGCGGAATTGAACATGTTACCCCTCATAATCATGTTGGTAGTACCGTACTGTGGGACGAGATGGGTCACTGAGATTAGGGTTTTCACCTTGATCGGCCTGCATGACGACACTAGCGACTCTGTTAAGGTGGCAGGACAGCACTGCGAGAACGACCAACATTGCGACGAGGCACACATGCCGCTTCGGGGTCGCCATGGCGACCATCATGCGCGCCGCTCTTCCCCGGGAAGCCAGTGGACTACTTCTGATGAGTGGACTACTACTGATGAGTCTGGTGAATCCTAGACCGCTGCACTAACCAAGACTTCGGTTCAACGGAAGGAAAAGGTCTCGAGAAGTGCACGTGACCACAAAAATGGGCGAGATATAGTTCCACCAGGTTACAGCACCGCCGCTTTTGCTGCTTGTTCGGTGGTATAGTCGCAGCAATTGACAGAGCCTTCGGGATAACGACGACGTGGTCTCGGAGGACGCCATGGTGGCTGAGGGACTACGCGGCGAATAGGTGATGCCTTCACCGTCCAATGCCTTGACAGGGATTTTTACCTCTTGCTGCCCGGTGACCGTGAGGAACGAAAAATAGGCGATGCCTTCACCGTCCAATTCTAGTCAGAATGTTGACATCTTGACATAGCAGGGGACGTGAGGAACGAAAATTAGTCGTACTGTATAACGTCGGTGAACAACAACGTTCTTCGTACTGTGCAGTCTCCAACATTTCATGCGGTACAGTAACAACCAATTTTTTAGGCTCTGCCGGTTACTGTACCTCCTGGCAAGAGGCCAAATGCAAGAACTGAAGACAGGCCACTTGGCAAGCTTTCTCGAAGGTCTCGAAACGTGAGGACACTACTGTACACAGTTTCGTCGGAGATGGACATCCTGTGGGATCTGGGTCGAATAAGAACAAAGACGTATATCAAGCTGCATCAACAACCAGCAGCTCCGACAGTCCAATCCCGCCCAAGGTTGTTATCACGCTGATTCCAAATTTCATACCAGAGTCGCAAGTTTGCGTTCGGGTCTGATCGGCTCCGATCTGATCTGCTCGGAAAGCTTGTGATCACTTTGCTCGAGCCGCCCGATCAGCAAGGTTTTTCGTCGAAGGTTTGAAGCTACTGCTCGACAAACGCAGGAACATTATGTAGAAATTCTTATCCAGCTCACGCGAGATTGGCGACAGATTGTCACCTGGCGGACGAATTGTTTCCCTGTAATATTGTCGATCCCTGGAGAGTTCTCGCGATGTACCATGAATAAGCGAGAGGTTCACGAGTTTGCAATCAACAGTGTAACATTTCGCAACCATCGTTATGGCCTCGATCACATGCAATCAACTGATCGAGGGTGATTGAGCAAAATCGAGTGTTTGGGTGAAAATCGGGAGTGATTGAGTTGGGGCGATCAGCTAGCTGATCGCAATCAGCTGATTGCCCCCGATTGCCTCCAGGCTTCCTCGAAGTTGTTAGTCGCTTCTGATGGAGGCGATCAAACTTGTTTTGGGCCCACGTCCTTGTGCCGCGTACCGAGTCAATTTTGCGGATCACAAGCTGGTTCAACATTGTCTGGTAATTTGCGACAGATGTTGATGCGGTCCCCACTCACCGCTCCCAGACTCAACTGTACACACCCTCTTCACGGAGAGCCAATTCGGTTTCTATGGTACGTGTACAGTACATACGGTACAAAACCGTGTACGACATCAGCCCCTCATACACCCTCATTCTCGATAGACTGGCATATGTTATACTGAACGAGACGCTTAGTGTAGCCGCACCGGACCAAAGAAGGTCCTATCACATGCGTTACAGTGACAATTTGACCCAGGGCGTTTAGTCAAGGTTTTCTACGTTCTACAATGGTACTGTTGTTTTCAAAGCGGTCAGGACGGTTATTCAACGTTAATGGTTTTTTACGGCCCAAGGCGTGTTTCAAACCCTCGTGCGACTTTGCCCACAACCGACTTATCTCACCAGCCCGCTACGTCCAAACACTGTAGCCAGTGCTTCCGCCGGTGAGAGAGGTGAGAAAGAGGGTGTACACACTCACATCCCTAGTAATCGGAGGATTACTCAGGCTCAAAGCCACACACGCAACCGATTTCCGGGGCGTTTCACCAGCCTACTCTTTGAATAAAGTTTTATTTTCCATCACACCCCGTAAAGAACGAGCGGCAAGATTGTGACTCGGCGCACTTCAGGGATCGATTAAAAAATTACCTGCTGCGGCCGGATGCGTGAATCCAGCTTGGCTGTTCAGGAGTTTAATAGCCAAGCGCTCGTCGCATACTCACATCACAAGTACCAAAAAGGCGACCTTTCTGACTTGAAAATGCTGAAGTCCTTGTGTGCAAATCACGAAGATTGGATTAGTATGAAATTTGGCTAAGTCCTACTGGAAGTCGAAAGTGGATCAGCATTAAATTTGACAGCCTGCACGAGATGCAACTGCACACACAGGTGTCTACAAGAAAATGTATGCCAATCCATGCACTGTCCAAAATTTGAGTACAATCGAATATATCGGGTCTCTCCCAAAAATTTTAGCGCGCCACTCGGCACAGCCAAGGGGCACGCAGATTTCACTCTTGTTTGGAAAAGTGCCTTGAAACGAAAAAAAAAAAAAGGCCCTCGCCACACAACGCCGTGACTGAAAAGCCATTTCCGTTCTTCATGCATTTTGTTCAAACGGTGTACAGAATCCACCGACGCTGCAACCTTCAGTTCCTACCAATCACATTGGGTTCTCATCTGGACCACGCGGCACACGACACGATGAGAGTTGTACACTCTGTTTCTTGATGTTTGAACAATCACAAGTACCAAAAAGGCGACCTTTCTGACTTGAAAATGCTGAAGTCCTTGTGTGCAAATCACGAAGATTGGATTAGTATGAAATTTGGCTAAGTCCTACTGGAAGTCGAAAGTGGATCAGCATTAAATTTGACAGCCTGCACGAGATGCGACTGCACACACAGGTGTCTACAAGAAAATGTATGCCAATCCATGCACTGTCCAAAATTTGAGTACAATCGAATATATCGGGTCTCTCCCAAAAAATTTAGCGCGCCACTCGGCACAGCCAAGGGGCACGCAGATTTCACTCTTGTTTGGAAAAGTGCCTTGAAACGAAAAAAAAAGGCCCTCGCCACACAACGCCGTGACTGAATAGCCATTTCCGTTCTTCATGCATTTTGTTCAAACGGTGTACAGAATCCACCGACGCTGCAACCTTCAGTTCCTACCAATCACATTGGGTTCTCATCTGGACCACGCGGCACACGACACGATGAGAGTTGTACACTCTGTTTCTTGATGTTTGAACAATCGGGAGCCCCGGGTACAGTGCGCACGTGTGCTTGGATTCAGCGGGCTGGTGCTTGAAACCGAAATGCACTTCAGGAGAACGGTAGACAACGGTTTATGAAAAAAAAGGTGCTTTTGAGTTCGGTTTCGTGCGGCAAAAGTGCTTATACGGTATGTTCTGGGACCAATTTGGACGCATTGATGTCAGTACAACCGGCTTGTCAATATGGCGAATGTCAGTGTGGCGCGAAACAGGGTGTAATCTGCTGGGCACGAAGCCTGGTTGGCACGAAACCAGTGGTTTGGTACTGTACGGGAATGAAAACAAGGTTTGGAACTGTACCAAACCAGTGGTTTGGTACTGTACTGTAACGCCCAGAAGGGTTGGAACAGAAAGCACTCAGGGCGCGCTGCACTTCTATTTATTAATTCGATAATTCTTTGGAGCGGGTTTTGGGCGAACTTGCTTGCGTTTCAGTGTTTTCGAACTTGAACATGCAAAAACACAGAATATCGGCACTCTTTGTCAGGTGCATCAAGACTGGTTTTTTGGGGAACCCGAACTCCTACCAACCGTGCGACCGAAATGAGGTCGCACGTACACTGTAGACGTCGCATAGCCAATCATATCGTTTCGTCTACGCATCGTAACTATTCTGTTACCGTCGCTAGTGTTTCGTTTTTTTTTTCGCAACTGGAGTTCACATTTTGGGGTGGTGCACTTCCCTGTCAAGTTCGAGCATTTGACGGGGAATTCCGCAGTATCGTTTGCCCGCGTTTGGGGCGCTATGGCGTTCAAGTTTGCATGCAAAACACGAGTGTGGTGCACTTCTCGAACAGTAACACTGTTCAGTCAAGACAAAATTCAGTTGAGTAAACGCCAAACGCATAGTAACCCGAACTTCGCCAAAATTTCGGATTTTGATCGATCTTCTTCAGCATTTTCGAATTAAAAAATAGAAGTGCAGCGCGCCCTCGGGTGAGTGGTTTCGTTTGGCATGCCATTGGCTCGACCTGGGTCAGTGGACTCAGGCTCTGGTGGAGAGGAGATTCGAGATCCACCCATCCCAGCATGCGATACGCTTGGAGTCATCTGCAAAATGTCAACACAACAAACAAAAAGAACATACACCTAACC